AAGAGGTTGCAGTAGTAAACTAAGTTGATAAACTGGCAATTCCATATTGGGTTGGTATAAAATTGAAAAATAACTAAGGGAAACATTGATTAAAATATAATCTTCATGGCATACAGTATGGTTTAAGGTATTTCTCTGTCTCTATTAAGAAGTAATTCTGTCGATGTAGGAACATTAAGCTTCCAAATTTAAACCCTAAGCAAAATGTTATAAATGAGGAATTAAATCCAGAAAGGCTAATGCATTAATATACAATATTTTTATTTGCTTTTAATTTTCTTGAAAGCACACCGTTAATGCTTGTTTTGTATCTGAGGGGTACTTCCAAGCTCCAGTGCACAGCAAAAATATTATGCATCACAAAGCCAGTTATGTAGTATAATTAAAACCTGCTCTCAAACCAGGTCTTACCACAGTCACACGCACACTGAGAAATAGACACCTGGCACAACTGCCATATCCAGTGCAATGCCATCTCTCAACTTCTCGAATTATGATCACTTTCCATTTCTCTCTGTAATACCCATTTTTTTCCTTTCACTAACCAAAATATTTAATACATCCATGGTTTAATTGATTTATGTGATCAAGGCAATCCACACTTTCATATGAAGTATATATTTGTCAGAGACAACATTTTATTTTGCGAGTGATGAAGCTCTCACTCAATGCAAGTCGCAAAAGTTAACATTGTGCAGCAAGCCAAGGACACTCTAGTTGGCTCATGCCAAGAAACACCAGGGATTTTTGGCATGGCCACGAAGGGAATGCCAACTACAGTATATTAGGATAACAGCACAGCCCACATTTGAGTCAGCCATGCTGTCTTCAGAGCTCAACATACACTAAAAACAAGTACTAACGTACACTATGTGTTACTTGTATGAATATGAGTATACTCTTCGTCTGGTGTCCTTATTAATACCTCTTTGGATAAGCTGTATGTCTAAATATGAATGACTAAATAGCAAAGAATTCAAGAATTATAGTCACATTACTGTGGAAGATGGTTCCTATTTTATTATCACTGTATTTGTTTAACCAGAAATGTTTTCTAATGCATACAACTATTTTTGTTTGGACTATTGTTGACATGTTTCACAAACTCAGACTTGATTACCCTCAATGAAAACCATACAAAAATATTGTACTTTTATCCAAAATGATCCAGCACAGTTCGTAGGTACTAAAATATACTGATAAATTAATAACTGTATTTTGCTTTTGTAACAGAGCAGCTGTGTCTCTCAGCCATCTGTGCTGGTCTGTGGTGCAGGTGTGCAGCTTAGAGACCAGTCAGAGAGAGGAAAAGTGCAGGCATTCTCATGAGACAGAGAGAGTAAGATCTGCTGTGGCTAAGGCCAATCATTCTCTCTATAAAAAGGTTCAGAACACAGGTGTAGGTTTCTAATTGGCTAGTAAGGTAGACTAGTTTAAGGGTTACAGTAAGACCAGGGAAAGGAAGTTTTTAAATTCCAGTAGGTTGAAAGGAAAAAAACATAGTTTTTCCTTTAGGTTGAGGTGAGAAGAGAGAAGCACATCAATGATTTCCCAGTCTTTAAGAACAGGTCTAAGTCTTAAACAGGGGAATCCTGAGTTAGAAGCAGGTAATGGACAAAGTTGGAGTGAAAAGGATTTCACCACAGAGTTACTATAAAGATTACAGAAAATGGGTCCAGGTACCCATTGACAGTGTTTCACATGCTGTACATAGGTCCTCCATGTCATGCTGCCAGGTAAAGAGTACTAAAATGTGGATACTAAATAGTAAATAAGTTTAAGCTTCAGACAATTTTCAGTTATACACCCAAAGTGGGAAGCTTACAAGAATGCTGTCTATGCTTGTGGTATATGTTGTGAGAACATAGTTTAATTAGCAAACAGAGAAAGATAAGAAAGGGTCTGCCTGTACATGACATTAAATAGTTGTATAAGTACATGAATACATACCTGAAAGCAGCAGCTCCATGTTACTGTTTGTTAATGTAGCATTAACTCTACCCGTTGTTGTGTTAAAGCTTGTAATACTTAAAGTCATTGGTTGCTTCTTTCCCTTATAGTTGTATGAACCTTTCCAAATGTAATTAGGAGCAAACACATCATCAGGAACTGTAACAAACAAAAACCTTTATTAGACATTGTGTTACATCATGTTTATTATAAAAGCTAAAGACCTACTGTAAATGATAAGGAGTTGGGTAACTGAATAAGATGTGAAACACTATGAAGCACAAAGCACAAAGACGAGAAGCACAAAGTCATTTTTGTGCCATTTTCCTGAATGAATATGTAATATTGTGCATTTTCAAAGCAAAACAGCAATGGTGCCTTTTGAAGTTCAGAAATCACCTTGTTTGGTAGCATGTGGTGATTATTGCTACCATTTGAAAAAAATAGAAAAGGTGTCTTTTATTGGAAAATATTAGGAATGTTGACATCTTTTTTACAATTAAATGCAGACATGTTGCTTTTTAACTTTTAAATGCCCTTTATTGCCTAAAGTTACTGTTTTATAGAGTTCTTGTTTTCATAGCTTTTGGGAGTCGCCACAAAAAAAAGTACAGTGTACATTACATTTCAATAATACTTACCATTTAATTTTGGACTGGGTGTCCCAGGAACAGGTTTAATTACTTTCTCTGATAATTTTGATCCAGCTGAAAATTCATAAATAAACATGTTGTGATTATGTATATAGTATGCTTTTAAAGTAAAATGAATATTATATTAAACAACATAGCAGGATAGTATTTGTTGAAATATTTTTCAATCCAAGATAAAATTATAATTATTAATTTGTATAACCTTTTCCAGTGTTATACTGTAGAAAAAGTACAAAAACATACAGAAAGTATGGTTAATTATAAAGCAAAACAGGAAAAAAATATATATAAAACCAAGGTACAGTACATCAACAAAATAAACACACTGCAAGGCCATGCAAACATTTGGAAAATCTGGCAAAATCTCCTGTAATATCAATATTCACGAGATTCAAAAAACATTGCAAATTCATGTGGGTGCTCAGTTGTGCAAGGGATTATAACATTCTTTGGCATGAAACAATTTTGCTAAACATGATGATGAGGTAATCAGGAATTAGTCAGCCATATCTTTAAATATTTTAATATATACATAAAGTAGCTTTCAGGTCTTCTGTTGCAATTGTAATTGCTGTCCCCCTTACATTACATGTCATTAGGTATCTTACAAAGGAACAAGTAATAGGTTTATTCCATGCTGAAAAGACAAGAAAGAAAACACATTTCGGCTATGGAGCCTTCTTCAGGTGTGTGGATTAGATATGTTATATGTGTTATCTTGAATCCATTAAAATCAAATCAAAACAAAATGTAGCATAAAAAAGATTTACAGAACTTATCTAACAGCCAATATTTCTCACTTTAGTGTTATGTGATATATTGAATAAGAAAACTGCAATGAAAAAGCTGTTTATTTCGGTTTTTAAAATAGTGAGTTAACAAATAAAATAAACATATTTTTTGGCAGATGTACTCAATCAATTATTCTGCCAAAATGAAAACTAAAACAAGTAATTGAGATGCTGTAACTGTGTGATAACAAACCTGTCCCGTACACGAGGACTCTACTGGAGCTGCTGGGGGTCTTTATTCAAGCACAAAGCACTTAACACTGACAACACTGTACATTACGTTCAATTCGGGAGATCTACAGGTCTTACTGAAGTGTCATTTCAGCTTGTGGTACACAATCATTGTCAAGTGCAAACAAATATTTTGATTGCTCTCAATCTGAATATTTTTATAAAGATTTGTTGGAAGATTTCTACCATTATTTGAGTTAAATGAATTACTTCACAGTAAATACCCAAGCCACAGTGTTTTAGATACATAATATCCATATATTATGATATAGTGTGCAGATGTAACTTTTTCGTACCTCGACACACTGGCATTTTTCCAGTCCAAGTGCCATCGGACTTGCAGACTCTGTGCTCTGATCCCCCAGAGAGGAAAAAGCCAGTCTGACAACTGTAAAGCAGAGTATATCCAAGTGAAGGCAGATCCATTCCAACCACATTGACGTGAGGAGGACTCTCTGGCTGTTTACAGGTGTGAGCTGTTAAAGAAAACATAAAACACATTCTGTAAAAAATATTCCACCAGGGACTTAGCTTCAACCTACATACCAATCAACATCGGTAGCTTGATCCTTTTGATATTGTTAACATTGCTTTATTGTAAGAAACTAAAGTTGCGTCCAGGGTAATATCTACCACAGTAGGAGGTAATCATATCTTTTTTTCCCACTCCTATTGTGGCTTGGGATCTGAGAGTGCCTTTGAAACCAGTTAAAAAGAGTAGTGTGAGTTCAGATGTTATATTATCTACAGATACTGCTTGACAGATGTTACAAAGGTAGAATGCATCTTTGAGTGCAGCCTGACCACTTTGGAATGGCGAGGTACCAAACAGGATCATAAGGACATAAGAAAAGTCTAAAAACGGCCTTTTTTGCTCATATGGTAGTTTAATTGATAAGTTAATTGATAATTTCATCCAGTCATTTCTAAAATGTAACCAGAGTTTGGGCCTCAGCCACCTGTCTTGGATTCCTGTTCCAGATACTCACTACTCTTTAAATAAAGAAGTGTTTTCCATTCTATTTCCTAAATTAATTCCCTTTAGATATCCAATTATGACTTAATGTCCTTGTTACACTATTGATTGTGAACCAGTCCCTGAGTTGAACCATATCTATGTCCCTTAGACTTTTATACACTTAGATGAATTGTCCTCTCAATGTCCTCTGTTCTAGATTGAATAGATGACAATCTGACAGTCTCCTGAAGCCAGTCAGGACAGTCTCCTGAAGAGCAATTTTTTATTGCTCTTGAGCTCTATAAAGGCTGTAATTTCTATTGCACAGTGACCAAAATTGAACGCAGTATTCAAGATGAGGTCTTGATAGTGCATTATAGACCCTAAAACTGAATTCTTTGGATTTAAATTCTACAATTTTTGCTAGGTGCCCAGGAATTCTGATATTTTTTTCAATGCTTTCCCACATTGACTTGTTGAGGAAAAAGAAGAACCTACACAATTACCCAGATCCTTTTTGTGTGCAGTCCTGCCGTTTCCAAAGCACTAGTGTGACATATATAGAGTATGTTCCTGTGTTGATCCAGTTTTTTAACTATTGTAGTTCTTTAGTCATGTATAGTACATCCATTACTTTGGATTCCTATGACTTTTAATTTAAGAATCAAAAGTTCATTTCAAAGCTTATCAAATTCTTTATGGAAATCACAATACAGTAGAACATATCATGTGCTTCAGTGTTATCTAATGTCCTTTTGGCTTTTTAAATATAATTCTATCAGGGAAGTTAAATTGTTGTCCAACTTCATCAGTAACATAGAAATGTCCTGGGACAGAACAGGATCTTGTCACTCACAAAATCATATTTGTGTAAGCATTAAGCAACGTTTGTAAATTTCACATTCACTCATTGAGTGAAGACAATACATTTCTCATCATGCATGTGAAAAGATTAAACATAGTTAAAAAGTTATTCAATTTCACACTTCTCTAGCACTGAAAGATTAAAATGCCTCTAGGTGTGTTTGAAATCATTATTCTACTCAACTTCAGAACTAAATTCTGCTGTTTATGTGGCATTTTCTTAATGTGAAAAAAAAGAAATTCTTAAATTAGCAAAATCCTTCAATACTAATCTCATAGTAATATTCTCTTTGAACACCTTATTCCACTTAATGAGTCTTCAGATGTTTTCAGTTTGTTAATGATAATTTACACTGCTTGATGTTTCTGGCATGCATTTTTTTCTTAGATAGCAACCATTGGCTTTTCATTAAAGGAACATACTGAAAAGTACATTATAAAGGGAAGCTATCCTTCAATGTAAAATTGATAAAACGCAACACATGAAAGCTAGAACTACTTGTGTGAATCATCTGTGGGATGCTAATACTCTTGCCCATGAGTACAAAGTGTACATGAAACTCCTGGAATGGCCCCTTTTAAGAGAATAATTAACCACGGGATTTCATGTAGCTAATTTAAAACAAACACTAATAGCTATCAAGAACAAACAGATCAGTGTGTGAAGCAGAATGCTTTATTTATTTCAGCCACACACAACAATAATAAGAGGATATTTCTATTGTCTTTTCGTAAAGGAGAAATATTTTAAATCCTATTTAAATCACATGATTTGAGAAACATAAATTACATAAAACTGAACTATCTTAATGGCTTAATGAATGGGATGCCAATTCACTGCAGGGCTCACACAGGCACAATTATGAACACATTATCCTAACCATCTTATCACTGGAAGGTTGGAGGAAACTGGAGCTACTGGCAAATAAAAAACACAAACATAGAGAGAACATGTAGCACCATTGTATTTAATGATTGAGGCATGGGTCAAAGTTTTCTACTTCATGCAGCACCTAAGAATTGTGGATGTATTGGTTTATACTCTGTGACAGAAGGTGATATGGCAGCTCTTTAAATAGCTTTGACTATAGTAGCAAAATAGTAGGGAAATCTCACCAAAACTGGGTTTTCTACAACTAAATGTGTAGTGAAATAATAGAAGTACTCTCTAGTACTACAAATCCTCTTTTAGGGTGATTTTCATTGCATAAAATGTTTTTCTAGCTGACCAATCCACAAACCTACATTGGTCATTGCTAGCATAGCCTCAAATACCCAGGACTTCACTTTTGGTCTTTTTAAAAAAATACAGCACAGTGTTCCCTACTACCAAACTGGGAATGCACCCTTCCCCATTCCTAATAGCAATCTGATTTTCTTTTGATGAGTCCCATCCCTGTACTAACCAGGTAAAGCCTTGCTTAGCTTTTGTAATCTAATCCAGTAATCAGCTGCTGACAATTTAGCCTGTCTCCAGGCTGTGGCATTTACTTGCTATTGTCTGGAGATCCCCAGTGGGGGCCTAAATGAAGAGTGAAACTTAAATTGGGAGAATTGTGGTAGACGAAAGCTCCTAAACTTGGGATTCTCAGAGGATGTAACAATGAGAACTGTCTCTCTCGATAGTCCAGGAGGTATTCGTTATTCCTGTTATATCTATTGTGAACTCCTTGTGTGAGGATACAGGTGAACTGGGTACAACAAGACAATAAATTTCAATTTGTATCACAAATATCTGAAAAAATAATTTGCAATTATAAAACCAGAACAAAATGAAATCAAACACTAAACAGGCTTTTCTAATCCACTATGTTCACCTCATAATTTACAAAGCACTTACTGTACCTGTTTGCAAAAAGAAACACTCTGACATTATTATTCAGGCCATTATAACTTTTCATTCAAAACAGCCCTTGCTTAAATACACTAATGATTTAAGCTATGTGTGTTTAGCTTAATAGTTGGCAGTCTTAAATGTATAATTAGAGGCTGAAACAATTTAATTTGGTCTTTTTGACAACTAGTGGTATTAGAATTGGTGGTTTACATGGTAAAATAATTGCGAAGTGGTCTGCTATAGAGAAGCTGGTCACTGCACATTAAATAGATTCTGTTGTGTAATGGAAAAACTTTCAGAACATTCTGTTCTGTTGTAAAATATGTATATATTTTCTGTCTCCAAAGATGCCCCATCTTATTTTTTAGGATTAGCTTAAATGGAAAGAAATCAATTTTTTGTTTTCCATATCTAGGTTAACTTTTTTGCTTTATAAATTTTACAATAACTTAAAATGTGGTACATTTTTCCCTTGGGCATGAATTTTAAAACAGTGTTATTTTTCATCAAGTTTTATAATGATTTGGAAAAGTACACTGAGAGGAGAAAAATCTTGATTTTAGTCCTTCACATTTAACTTAAAAACAGTAATAAAATTGATTAAAACATATTTAGGATGACGTCACTAATCCATGTTTTAACCTACAGTATATTACAATAAATAAATTACTATCTCTTATTTATAGATTAACTTCACAACTGCAGAATTATTTTACATCTGTAGCAACTTCCTTGTCACACTCCATGAATAATGGTTGACTTCACTGTTCTCTTTGAACCGCTACAAATGGCTTGGCTTCCTAGCCGTCAGTAACTGTTTATTCTTATAAACATAATCTTAAATCAACTGATTCTGGTATTCATTGTTTTCTCAGCATACTATTACACAGTCCTTCTTTCCTTCTTTTCTTATGCTTCTCAACCCTGTAGTTTTCTTCCAAATGATTTTAGAACCTGGCTCCTTGGTTGTTTTTAAATCTTATCTGAATTATGTGTTTCAAAATATCATTATCTACAGTAAGTATAAGAGACCTTATACTGTATTCGCAGATTTCAAAATGGATGGGTGACAGCTACTGTATGTGCTTATTTTATTATTGTACTATATATCTGTATTTTATTTTTTATGTTCAGTGCTTTGAGATTTATTTGAAAGATTTCATAAAATAAAGGTTACTATTCTAATTATCATTAACACATTACATTGAATATTCTTAATTGCAGTGTACTTACATAGTAGTAGTTACTCACCATTTATATAGGACACTACTGTATATACTGTAGTTATCCTAAAATCATCATATCACTTTCAATAATTCAGAGACACAGTGGGGACGATTTTACACATGCCAAACAACCTACCAGCTTGTCTTAGGACTGTGGGAGGAAACCAGGGCACCTGGAGGAAACCCATGCTGCTACAGGGAGAATATACAAAATCAACACAGATAGCACCCCAGGAATTGAACCCAGGGTATCAGTGATGAGAGGCAGAAATGCTAACCACTGCGCCCCCAGAGTTATCCAATTATCTAATGATAACTTGTGTGAATTTTAGGTGCTAGTTTCTTCCCACAGTCCAGTGCACTGGTGTCTTGTCCAGAGTATATCCTGTCTTGTGGCCATTGTCTGCCCAGTCTTAGACAAAACAGTAATTAAAGATGGATTAACGTATTATTACAGTTTTTGGGAGTACGTACGAATGCACTCTGGCTGAAGTCCACTCCACGTGAGATCAGATCTGCACACTCTTGTTGTTGAGCCTTGGAGAAGATATCCAGGTTGACAATGGAACTCTACCACACTCCCTACCTGATTTGGAAAATTAACAAACAGAATACATTCAATTTAACAATTTTAGAGGTTCCAAGAATGCTGGAACCATGCAAAAGAGGTTTTTAATACACAACACAACATTGGCCATCAAGCAAAAACAATTCAGCTATCTATTTCCTGTAGTCTGTTCAATTTAATTCATCTGTTTTTGAGTGTACTCCTCCTGCCTCTGCTGTTTTATTAATGTGCACATTCTGCAGATGAGCAAAACATTTCAGTCAAGCTAATAAGGAGCTCTTAAACACATGGCTCCCACATTTTATACACTTGTCTAATCTATCTTAATCAGACTAAAGCCTCCTATATGTTTATTCATTGCAACAACATTGCAACATTGTGTATAAGAGTAGAAAACTACTTATAGCAGTTGCAGCACCTTTCGAATATCCCTGACATACAGCTCCATTAACAAACATTGGATTCAGATCAGTAATATCAATGTGCAAAGCCAATGACTGTATGTTATTGGTGACATGCTTTCATTCAGACACATTCCATTACACAGACTACACTTATTTACAATATCTCATTTAGAGTAGGTGGCATACACTTATGTTAAATTTATGTTCACAGATCCCACCCCTTCCTTAAATGATTAATGATGCATTATTTTTACAACTCTATAGTTTGATTCTATTATTTAGGCAATTTTCCATAAATCTTCCTTTTTTTTCATTTCCTTTTAATCTGTTAAATGATGGTTTTCATGTAATGACATTTTTTTAATTAAATCTTGTTCTGGAGGACAGAAAAATGTAATGTGATGCTTCATAGAAGAACATGTGTGTTTTGAATGTATTACTTTATCTATATGTACTGTATAATGCATCTATATATTGAGCTTAAAAGGAACTATACAGCTAAAACATACTGTAGGTGGGTTATCAGGAGCATGTAATATCCTTTTAACTTCTCATCAATATCATTAGACTTGAATGAGCAATCTCTTATTCCTTCTTCAGTCTGGATAAATGATTTATGAATGGGAAAACTCTGATATTTTACTATTTGACCTTGGCAGTATATAAAGGCAGCCTAAAATTCCTAATATCACTTCATTTGCACTGTGCTGACTTTATATGTACTGTATGTGTGTATAACTGTTAATTTTATCCGTATATGCTGACATACTGTATAAAGAAATTGTTCTCAAAGCTTTATTTTTGGGGATTAGAAAAGACTGAAGGGCCATCTGAGAACTGATCCCTGATTAATCCACAACTGGTACCACTACTGAAACTAGTGTGTCTAATGACCATAAGGAAACAAAAAACACTCCCTCCCTCCACGCACACACAGTAAAACACATTTTTCATTGTACTTTCATGTTACAACAGAAAATCTGAAGCACCAGAGATGGGTTTCTTTCCATTTCTTGCAGACGTAAAAATACTAAACAAGAAGAATTATATATGAATTATAATATAATGCCCTTGCCAGGGTCTGCTGCGACCTACAGGCAATTTGGTGGAGCCTGGCAACTGTTTTTAATCAAACAACATAAAGTAAAAAGTAGGCATTCAACATCATGTCTTCTTTGCTTTGTTTTTAGGCCATTTCATCACACATTTAAGTAGAATTTGTGTCATTTCCTTGTATGCATCATCACAATACACAAAGTAATTATCAAGCCAATAATTCAAAACCAGGTAGAGTACTGGCTCAAGCATCTCTCTTGTTAAGTACAGCGTGTTGTGTAATGGCTCTAAATGCAGCTAATTAGGTGCAAGAGCACTGTGCCACTGACAATACAGCCTAATAATGTCTGGCACTCAAAGACAAAGGATCTAAAAGAGAAAAACGTGGAGAGGATTTATTTATGTTCTCTAAATAATATTAGGCAACTATATCCTTTTGAGCAGACTGGAGTTCTAATTTTACAGATAGAAATGTTGTTAGTATAATGTATGGTGCAGGTACTGTAGTAAGGCGAGCTATTTCATCAGCCATTTGAGCATCTTGCTTATTGTGGCATTGGCTTGGTTAATTTAGAAACTGGACGAAATTACTTATATACCCACCACGTATTTCTGTCAGGAGATCAGTGACAAAAGGAAAGATAAGGGATTAGAGCACTAGAGGACCGAGCTAGAAAACATTAACAATTAATCCAGGCATACATTTTAAATGTAACTGTGTGTTGCTGCTATTCATTTTATTGCTTGTTATTTTAATGATAACATATTTGCTTTTATGTGCCCTGCTAGTATAACATAACAGACTGCTGTGCTTAAAAATTACACACATCTTATTGAAGGTAGTGCTTTGCTCTTCTGGTGTTTATTTAAAAATGGTATACCTCCCTTTAAAATGAAATTAACAGTCATTGTATCTTCATAACAAAAACATATTTCTTGCCCACTGATCTAATTAATGTAGCTGGGATCAAAGTAAAGATTTGCATTTCTGTTATGCTGAATGTATTATCTAGGCATCTTATTTAGCCACTGACAAAAATAAACAGGCAACAACATACACAAGTAGAAGTTAGCAGGCTGCAGAATGGAAAGACAATTTAATCTGGTTTTGGGATCAAGGGTTAGAATCACTTACAGTACACATATAAACTCTATTTAAGAGTCTGGTGTGGCAAAACCAAGATGGGGGGTACAGTACAGTAAAATGAAAAGCATCTTACCTAGTTTTTATTGTATTAACTGGGAAAATGAATTGGCCAAAGTCATATGTAACGTATAAAAAAATAAACACAGTAAACTTTGAACTCATAACTAAGGTATACAGTATCTTTGTTTCTATATGTGGGCTAAACGCTAATATTTAATATGTGGACTATCTCCTGGCACTTAGCTTTGTGTTTTCCATCATGGCTTAATTAAATGCTGCCTGAAGCATTTCAACAAGACATTATTATTGCTAAAAAAAATCAACAAAAGTCAACCCAGAATGCATGCTAATCTCCATATTCCAGAAATCTCTTGTTCAAACTGCCTTGTCTTTAGCTGACAGTTACAGGGAGGATTCTTTAGTTAGCATACTGTATTTGTACCGATGTGCCCTATTTCTTATATCTAAAATGTAATTTTGTGATAGATTTTAATTTTAATTTTGTGTAATGCTATTGTGTTGGGGGTTTTGAGTGTGAAAAAATAAGCAAATGATGGAAAGTGCATACTTGTGTGTATCTGTTGTTTAATAGTAACTGCTTATTATTAAATAATCTACTTTTTTTAAAAAAACACTTACCTTAAAACCTGACGTTCTGTTAAGTGAACCATGTCGAGGTGTTCCTGGATTCTCACATGTTGTTCGTGTGGGTTCTAATTTGAAAACACAATGAAGTGTTTAGAAAACATTATATAGGGTCAGACACTAATGATTTGCAATAACTGATGGGAACATACTTTCAAAAGCCAAACAACATGATACACAGGGTTATAAAACAGTTTGAATACACATTAAGGGTTTTTTCGGAGAAACAAAAACACATTTTTTCAACAATTAAAATATGACTTGGGTTGTAACAACTACTTAAACACACTTAAAAGTATTACTGCCTTTCTTGTCTAACAAATTTCGTTTGAATCTCTTTTTTGTTGTTGTTTTTTAGATAATTGCTCCTTTGTTTTTGTGACAACATTACTGTGGAACTTGAAAATACATTTTTAATTTTTTGGAAAGCATTGTCAAACCGTTCCTTTCTAAGTGATTTTGTGAGTCTTTCGAGCAAAATTTAAAGCTTTGGGAATTCCAATTAATAGATATTTTCTGCAGAGATATGTAAATACAGTATTTCTAAGAACTAGAAAACATTATACATTATAAAAAAAGGGTATAACCTACTGTATGTATAAACGTGGTAGTTGATATACAGGTAAAACTATAAGAAAGGTTGCAAAGAAGATGAGTCTAATCAATATCATCTTGCTCATTTGGTAGTTAAGTAGGTAAGAGAAACTAGGCTTTTCAGAGTTTAGATTTTAACGACTTGACAGGACAGCATGTTCCAGATATCCACAATTAACCGTGTAAAGAATTATATTTCTCCATTTAATTCTCAGTCTTTAAATTTAGTTTCCAACTGTGACCCGATGTCCTTGTCTGTGACCCGATGTCCCTGTCTCACTACTGAGTCAGGAATAGTCTCCTGGGTTAACACCATGGATTGGATTGCTACAGTATAATGCAACTGCACTGTGCTGGGAGACCTAATGAATTGCAAATGCATTAAAAGAGATATTGTTGAGAATTTATATCTAAGAACATAGGAATACAGAAAAAGTCGAATAATGTAATGTTTGTGAATAGTATACATATTGCAATATTTATTTGTACTGTAATCAGAGTATCTTAACACTCTTTATAAGCAGCAAAAAACAGCTTTTCTATTGTGTGAGCAGATTTATCCTCTATGGTCTAGAATTATCCTCTATGGTGCCTGTGAAATGTATAACATTTCTTCAGTGCAGACATGCTGCATGATGAGTGATATACAGTATGCAGAGTAAAAACAGGATTGTATACAATGCCCTCTATTGGAGACTGAATATACTGGAATGGAACTGAGCTTTGAATTTTATTGAAGATGTATTTTTGTTTTTACTAAGGCACACTCTATTCTTTTTCTGGGTGTTCTGCATTTTTATGTGAATGCCAAACACTTCTTCATAAATAAAACAAAACCCTTTTAAGAATGCTTACATGCTTTTCCCTTGGCTATCCTATCCATAAAGAGTTTGTGAGGTTCTTTAGAAAAATGAATTTCTGGCTGCTGCTTTGAAATTCTAGGAAAGCCTAGGTAGTGTTTCAATATCAGAGGTCAACCACTGTTTTACTGTATACTCATACTAACTTTTAGTCTTTTGGATCTTTAAAAATAAAATTAAAAATAACTATCAAGGATATAGTCAGGAGCTGGATGGACTCTTTATGGCAATAAACATCAGTACCAGGTAAAAAATAAATGCATACTGTATACTGATGCAGTGCTCAAATGCAACAATCTACAGTTTACATTAATAGTACATACAAAATTATATTTACATTTTAAATTAGCAGATAGGGCTGTTTTCTTTTTGTAGAATTACCCCTTGCAATAACATAAATACTGAACAGAGATGATTAATTTCAGAAAACACCAGGTGCTTAGTGTTTGAGATCAAACTGGAAAAAAAATAGATTTTGTATAAACAGACATTTCAAAAACACATAACTTCAACTAATGCAAGAACTGTGAAAGACACAACTATGCTCCACTTTGACCCTAATGAAGATAGCTTGGTTATAATTGGCATGATGCAATTTTATATGTAAATGTTATATTGCAGTAATCAGCAGACTAGCCCAAATTAATCATTGGCTTTTGAAAATTGGCTTTGGTCACAAGACTGGCCCAAGACCACCAGACCCATCTGATCCATCTGCTTAATTGTTTAAATCAAAATGACCAGTAATTGAACAGAATGACTGTATTTCACCACATGGATGAAAAGGGTATGCATGTACTGTGCAGAGATCATGCAGGGCTAATCTTAGGATAGCTAAGGGATGAGACAGCCATTGTATGCAGGCCAGACAACATCTAAGGTGAGAGTGGTGGAGCATCTTATTCACTAAAGAATGCAGTTTTTCCCTTGATAGTCCTGACAGAAGATAATGTGTTTGGTGATTTTGTGATGGGTGATAAGTGTGATGATATGAGAAGGAATCTCCATTAACACAACAATGAATGCCTAGGTGTAGACTTAGGCAATTAGAATGACAAAACCTAGATAATTTCACAATGCTCATTACATTCCTGTTTCAGTGCAGTCATAATGCTACAATTTTTGTCTTTCATGAGAGGCAGCAATGAAATGTTTTTAGTACTAGCATTACAATAGAACATATGTGCTACCAACTCAACAAAGTTATTAAGAGGACTTATTAAGACCTTCACCAGCTACCTGTAGCAGTACAGGAGTCATGCATCATGTAAGTGTAGACTATTCTAAGGTAGATCAAATCTGTGCGTGAGTATGACCAGAATTGTGTAAATGCTAAGATACTGTATGCAATGCCCAATATTGTGATTCTTTGATCTGTATTTCTATCTTCATTTTCCATGAATTTTATGAAATGTTTGCTTACAAAGTGGTGTCTATGATCAGGAAGACGAAAGGTTTGATCATTTTTATTTAAAGCTGCATAAAAATTATGGGCAGCACAATGCATATCCTTCCTGTAATGTTTCTTTCCAAATGCAGCAGGTATTCCCAGAGCATTCACAACTTTCATTTACTTCAAGTTATATTCCTGTCTATCCATCATCTTTTTGAAATGGTGCATTAATGTGCTCTCACTAGATGTGATGTGATACTGTGCCAGTTTGATCCGTCCCACCAGGATATGAGCAAAGTCAGACAATTTCACAATGCTCACTGAAGTTTGTGTTTCAGTGCACTCATAATGCTAATGATGGTCTTGAATATGTGTCCTCATGTGCTTTGACATACACTTAGTTTAGCAGTCTATTATGTATGAAATTCAATCTACATTGTATGTGCTCCAATGGGCAAAGCGATATTCTTGTGTGTAGGTCAGCAATAAAAAATATAACAGAAATAGCAGATTGCCATTGTAAAATTGAAGAGGTGTAGCATGCCCTTCTATGAATTTCTGCATAAAATTCCGTTCTTTCCATAATACCAATAAAAGACCGCATAGTGAACCAAAGATAGGTGTTTTCCATTGTTTTGTGTGGTCAGCAGAACAAGGAATGGAAAGGTTTGATAGATTAGGCTGGTTAAAATGATCACAAATGGGGCATGCTGGGCAAGTGTGCTTTGCTGAAAGAGCAATACGAAAGGCTTTCTCTGTTGCTCCTGCGTACCAGTTTCAATGCCTGCTGTGAACAAAATTAAGTACTTATTGATTATGTGCCGAGTTCCTGGTCTCTAATCATTCTTCTAAGTCAGAAAGTTGAAGTACTTTGTGTTCATAGCAATGTCTGCTGATTTATTTTTAGTTTGTAAGTGAACTTTATTTGTACAGAAAAACAATTAAATGAATGTTACACGAAACACATAAATACATCTTTAAGCTTATGCGAGAAGCTGCAATTACGATGTGTAAAGGTTGAGTATTCAGTAATAACCATTTAAACATTTAAATCTGCTTTTGTGTCTGTGAATATTAATTAAGTTTGGCATATCAAATCGAAAAACAAAAGTGTGTTGTTTTTCAGTCAGAAACAAGTATCTAATCCCTTGCCAATTATATTTACAGAACAAATAGGCAAGAAGGTATTTTTGTAATTATAATTATTAAATTATTGACTGATGCTTTTATCCAATGTGACTTAATACGACTTAGATTTGTACTGTACTCAGCTAAACATCCAAACATTGTATTCATCTGTATGTATACAGTACAGTGCCCCACTTGGGATTCAGACCCACAACTTGCCATCTATGGGTCTACGGTTCTAATCATGATGCTACTGCTGTCCTATTTTAGTATAGTATTATTGTTATATAAGTGTAATTTAGCACTCTGGGGAAACCTATGTTCATTTACACATATAATACAATACAATTCTTCCATAAAAAATTGAAAACCCTGCAGTACCTAAACTTATAAATTATGCAAATGTTAAATTTCTATGGCAAATGAATATATTGGTGGGTATGTACCTCAGTTACTTAGCTGAGTGAATTATTACCCCTCCTTATGGAGTATATTACTTATCTCTCATTGCTCTCAGGCTGGGAATAGCTTTTAGACAACAAATTAAGACAAAACATTTGTGCATGTCTTTAGCTGGGTAAATGCCTACTATTTCCTTTAAAAGAAATGCCTGAAGGATAGTAGAGGAGGAATGTCTAGTGAGACTTCACAGAGATAATATAAAAAAGTACTCATAACTGTTGTATGCAAGGAAGTGTATTCTCAGAGGAAAATTGCAAGGAAAGATTAGTCATTGAGTGCAGACAACTCTGAACAGATTAAGGAAAAATGGAGAGAAAAAATAAAAAAAGAAGTGTGAGTGATTGAAAGCCCAAAGCAAATTCTTTCTTAAACATTCAGCTTTATGCTATCTAACCATAAAAAGGAGAGAGCTGCAGCTTTATTTTGATGAAGAGCAGTTACTATAAGAACATCTAACATGGACACTAAACCATATACAGTACATGAGTTAAACAATCAAATGAGTTTCATGCATAAAATGAATGACCATCTATTTCAGAATTTTGGCTCCAAGACAGATATATATGTTTGAATAAAGTCAAGGACGGGAATCATCAAAAAACTGTGTTTAAACATTTAAGTGGAAGTGTTAGATTTTGGTTTTGCTTCTCTGGTGCATATCAAGGAAATATATTAATATTTTCACATAACACCTTAAAGAAGGCAAATTATTTTGAAGGGTTTGTTTCTAAACATGATAATGTCCCAAAAACCATAGCCAAAAGCAATGTGAATTCCTATATTACCAAAAAAGGAACAAGGACAATAGGTTTTGAAACTGATGTACTTAACGTGAGCTTAAATCTTATGATGGCAAACCTTGACCATGTAAGACTGCGATGGATTACTGTACATGTGTTTCGTAGGGAGGGAGTGGGGGAATTACATTGTAGAGTTATATACTGCCTTGAGATGGATTAGTTTTTTTTTTAATACAAATCAATTGTTTATTTTGGTTCTTTATTTCTTATTTGTTAAAATATATATGTGGCATTTAGTCTTCCAATCCACTTCTTAAAATACTGTATCTCAAAGTTCATACAGTGTGTACACTTAACTCTGTATACTGTATGTAAACCAGAAAGAGTAGAAATAGACCACAAAAATAGCATATTTTGGTACTGAAAAATATGTTTCCTCTCTCCAACCCTTGTGATTCCAAAGTACCTATACAGCGAGGCTGAGATCCACTCCATGTTCCATCTGCCTGGCAGATTCTTGTGGTAGAGCCTACTGGAATGAAAGGGGGATTACAGCTGAAAGAGACCTCTGACTGGTAAATGAAGCTCTTCCCATCTCTTACTCCTTCAGCTGGAACACCTGGATCACCACAGAACTTGGCTGCAATAAAAATATGATAGGAAACAAACACAGGTGTTAAAAGCTAATCCACATCACTTATACAAAAGCAAAGAAAATGTCTTTAACCCATAACTTTTAAATAAAAATGAGAAGGATCTTTTTAAAACAAGACTTGTATTACTGTTATTATTTGTATTATTTGCTGCTGTCAGAGAATTATCTCTATCTTCTAAAAACATTCTATTGAAAAATATTCTGATAGTTACTGCTCCACAAATAAATTAAATACATTTGCACATAATTCGTGTGGATGAAAACATGGTTTAGTCAAAGCTTCTGTCAAATCTGTTAGTTTAGTCATGGTAAGAATACAACATATACAGTACCTTAAGTTTATCCCTAGAATAGCAGTCCATAACTTATATAGCAACTTAAAACTCAGAAGTAATACAAAATTCAGACTTTAAAAGAAAATATTGCCGCAGTGGTCATTCTTAAACTTAAAAATCCTATTGTAAACAGCAATACTTTTTCTGCTTCAATAGCATTTTAAAACTACAGTATATAGTTATAAAAACAGAAAGTATAGTAAAAAAAATGCTTATTTAGGTGAAAAACAAGAAGATCATAAAAATTAAGAGCCAAACTGTCTTAAGGTTTCAACATTGTATAAGGACTAAACTTTTCTGCTGTACATACTGTACTGTAGACTACATTTAGCATAAGGTTAACAAGCTACTGCTTTATACTACTGTATATACTGCTATGTGCTCAATTATGCAAAACCTCTTCTTTTCATTTACTCTGTGGGGAAACTTTTTTTAATTCAATCATAATTGTATCTATTTTTCAGAGTCTGGAAAGGGTTATTTCCTGCAATTAGAAAAATGTGAAGCTGCATAAAGTACACCATTTGCTTTCTTCCTCGCCTAGTGGGTTCTTGCTTATACTCTTACAATGGTGTATTCCAGGCTATGACTCATAAGATCAAGCTCAGCAGCTTTCTGCTTAACTGAACTAAATGATATGAGTATCTGACAACAGGGATCTCTATTTCAAATGTAGCACAAAGTGTTGTTATTGCAATAGGAACCTGTCACCATGGCTGGTGGCCATTTATAAAGCTTTAATTATTCACATATTCAAAAAATCAACTTGATTTATGCACACCTATACAGTACACATTTACAAGATGCATTGAGCAAGATATGTCTTGAGATGTTAGTTGTTGCTTCCACTAAGGCTTGCTTGGCTGTTTTGTATTTTCAAGAAGTTCCAGGTATGTTTTCGGAAATGTATGTCTGTCCAAGGTTTTTCACACATATGACTTTGATGAGTGAAAATAACTTTGGTTTCCTCGTTGCATCAGCAGCCCTTGGGTTAATCAATAATACCTCCATGGGATCCAAATCCAGGGATTGGTACTGTATGGCCAATCTATAACTTAATCTTTGTCTTTTCAACTGTTTCTTTATGGGAATTCCTGAGGTCATTATCCTGCTGGATTACAAACGTCTGTCCAATAAGCCTTTGGACACTAGATCACAAATGAAAATCTGGATATACTGTACTGTACGGTTTAAAATTCCTCATATTGCTGTCAATCATCTAAATAGACGGCCAAATGATGACTAACCAATGAGGTGCTTTTGTGTTTTCTGTATACAACGTCTCTCTATTCTTGTGTCAAATATTTTGCAGAAATCCTTGGGACTATTTTCATCACTTAGTTAAAGTTAAATAGTTAAATAACATATTTTACTTTTCAATCCTTGATGAGCATATATATATATAGTAGTCACCACTTTTACTTATTATTTTTATGTTTTAGATAAATATGAATATTAAAACAAGGAAAATGTCAAGACACTCATTAAATATTGTTGGTTATATCTATTAGAACGTATGGAAACTTGTTTATTATCTTAGTATATTATTACATTACAAATTATAAAGCAGTGATAAAATGTTCTTATCAGGCTTGATATTTATAGTACATCTGACACTTGTACATGTCACTTCAATGGCACTTTTGCAGATATGAGTCAACAATAGTAAAGAAAGGTATCAACCACAATAGAAAAAGTCAAGTCAGGAATAACAGAACTTAATATTCTCAATAGTTTATCACACATTTTGAGATTCTTTCTGAATCAAGAGGTTATACTGTATTTCATAACCATTTAATTGTGAGCCAAGATGGTAACGATCTACCCTTTAAAAATGAAAAATAAAATTAAATCACATAAAGCTGATTTATAATTAATGTGCTTGGAGAAGGCTCAGTCAAAGTCAAGTGTCTAGGAACTTGAGTAGGAACTTGGCTTTTCTTGATGAATAATGGATATACTGTCAAGATGAAAAATCAGTGCGCAAGCTACAAAGTCTGAATCATACTTTTATTCGGCTGGAATAAAGTAAAATGACTGTAGTTGCTTAGTTTGATAGCTGACTATTTTGATGGAATGTTAGAATACTTTCTTTTTTACTGTCTTCATGATTTCTTTTTTATGTCCTTTTTATGCTCCCATCCATATTTTGATTGTGCATTTTAAGTTATTGGTGATTTTTACTTGTCCCCGTGGAATGATGGAAACCCGATAACATTAATACAGATTAAAACATGCTTTTTTTCTTTCTTTTGATCCTCCATAAGCACTTCAGGTAACATGGCTTAAATTGTAGTATGATTTAGATACAATGGGGGACAAAAAAGATACAATATGTGCAAACAAACAAAAGACACTATTGTTTTATAACATTTAGGTCTACCTGAATTCTTAATTAATATGGTACCCAAGTTTACTATGCACAGAATATTACTCTTAGATAAAGACAATTGCCTTTGCACAACAAGGTCATCTGTAAGCCTATTTTTTTTCTTCTGGAAAGAATTTCTGTTAATGCAAGCAACCAAGTACAGTATATTTCAGAAGTATCTCAGTTTAAATCCTGCCCCTCAGAACAGATTGGGTGCAGTAAGAAACAAAAACACAAGTCAAGACTGATAGTAATTTGGGAATTGTTGCTGAAAGATTGGGGGATGCTGAGCAGGAGTCCTTGATATTACTTTACTAGCTGTATTTATAAATTGGAACCAAGAAGAAGAGGTGATCGGAATTTTCATTAATATGGGGCCTATGAAGAGACCATATTCTGTAATAGCTTCCTCCGCATTATCCCATATTTGTTTTTCAGTGTGTATTTTCTGTGATGTAGAAAGTTTTGTGGACAGCCAATTTTAGACAAGGTACTTCTGGTGTTTACATTACCTTCAATTGAACTTTGGACAATAAACATGAGGAAGAGGCAGTTCAGTCATAAAACTAATGGCTGCTAAATTAAAAATGGATTCCCATGTTATTGCAAAACTAATTGTAACTTAAAATAAATGCAGACATAATTGTGCTTTATTGCAGTGGCATAGACAGAAAAATAAAACACACAGCTTTAGCTGCTCTAAAAAGTTAATACTTCAGATTTGGAAATTTTTTTAGGAGTCCCAAAAGAGATCAACACCTTTGCCCAGTTACAGAATGAGACTGATAACCTGATCATTGAACAATGTCTGTTCTGGCAGAGCTACATAACTCTCTAGAGATATTAAAAAAACAACATTCTTAACCAATTTATTATTGCATGCATGAGGAGAGCTATTAGGGAGATTAACTATGTTTTTTGTGTAACAGTATTCCTTTATATATTTTTCTGTATTGAATATATACTCTTTTGAATATATTACTGTCCTCACAAATCTTATTAACATAGATTAGTTATAATGTTGCCTTACTTTTTGGCTTCTTCAGTTATTCATTCCATACTTGTGCACGCATACATTAGTCCAAAGGATTTCAGTCTATTGGTAACATTTTGAATCTTCTATCTTATTTGTTTAGTTTGAATGCTTTTTTTCTCTTTTGCAGATAATGATACAGTATTTCTCTTTTGATCATAATGCTAAGAGTACTACTTCATTGCTTTTTGCATGTTTATAAATTTAACTGCCTCACACTTGGGTTCAAGAAGCAGATGTCAACATCTAATACTCTGTTTTATAAGCTCATTTATGTTATGCAGACACATAAAAATATGCTTGACATCAAATTTTAAGTGTTGTTATTTAGAAACTCAGAGGAGAGTACCACTGAGGGGTGTGGGAGGTGGATAATGAGGTTTTGTGCAGGGTAGAAGATGTATTATTAGTTTTGTTGTACTTTCTTTGAAAGGCACTAAAAGTGATAATAAATGTCACATTTATCTGTCACGGATACTATATAACAAATTAAAAAAGGCTTCAATGATGATATTTGTAATATATGTGACATGTCTTAATAATCATAATAAGATGACTGCTTTTTCAAGAGTAATAATGAATGTCTTGATTATATTTTCTGTTGTTACAAATAATAAACCAGTGTAAAAATGAGTACTAACTAAATATAATCATATTTAAATTGATCAAAATGAAGAGTTGCTATAATGTAAATATTATAAGCGATACTGTTAAATCTCTTTTTGCAGAAATTTAAAAAAGCTTTATTTGCTTGACTTCAATATACTAATAACTGTAGCACTGCAATAGCATTTGTGAGGGAACTGTACATTGTCATTGTACATTGCCTCTGACTTTTTTCCTCTCGAGACATTTAGAATGATTGATTAGCACAATAATGCACACCTGATGAGGTGTAACTGATGTCCTTAAACAAGGTGGATTTCCAAGTTTGGCATCATTAATCGATGTCTCCTTTAGTAATTCAATTGTAGACTGAGCACCATTTGATAGTGACACCTGAATGTAGCAGGATGGTACAGTTACTGTTGCAAAGGTTATGATACCAACTGCAGTATTCATTCTGCCAGAACTAATCACTTACTTCAGAGAGTGAGTACAAGTTACCTTTGTCTTATTAAAAGGACAGTAGATGGGGTCCTAATATATTATATACTGTATGTATAGCTTGAGTACCAACAGATCTTTAAGGTATGCACATGCCTTTAATTTTACTTTTAATTGGTCTATATGTTTGATACTTATGGGTTCATAGCAACAGCCTTTATATTAGCTACAGCATATCAGCTTCCATTCATGTAGTGCTGTTCCTTTGAAGTCGCCATCTGGAGAAATATAATGTGCAAGTGCTATCATTCCTCAGAGCTTGGAGAAACATTTTTTTTTAGCAGCAGTCAATGACGTCAGACAAAAAACATAACTGAACACACCTTTCTGTACCAAGTTGTTGCTACCATTCAGAAAGTGGACAATAACTCCTAACTTCAATATTTAAAACTCTGATAGAGTGTTAATTAGTAAAATAAACAATAAGGATTGTATATACTGTTTATACTGTATAAAATGTTAACTGTCAAAATTACACAATAGGAATTTAATAAGGAAAATATCGACTTACGTAAACACTGAGGCACCTCTCCACTCCAAGTTCCATTTCCAACACAAGTTAAAACAGCTGGAAAAGACAGCTCATATCCTGAAGAACAGCTGTAACTGACACTGGTTCCCCATTCAAAGTCAGCCCCTTCCAGAATTCCACTGGAAATTGCTGGTGGAGCAGGGCAGGTCACAGCTGATTCAAAAATAGTAAAAAAAAAGGGGAAAACAGATGAAGCAAGACTAATCATATACACATACAAATGTATACTTTCTGTGTTGAATATAGTAATATATGGATACAATAATATGTGATACACCATTATATGTAGCCTGACTAATAGGTTATCCAATTTTGGATTAAATGTTTTATTAAACGTAGACCAAAAAAGGTATCCTTAAGAGAGTAATGTCAGATCTTTGTGAACCTACAGTATATTCCTGTGCAAACGTGAATTGATTGATGAAGAAAGATTATAATATTTGTAATTATCACAGGAACTTGTAATTTGTTTACCCTATTTATTCTCAAGAAAACAGGAAAAATATAAACAAACAAGAATTAAGACAACATCTGCTGCTTCTGAGCCTGGGTTTCTATTTCTGAGTCCCTATGTTTTGTCACAAATTCCGATTTCTTTGTAGTAGCCAGGACAGAACTCTCAGCTTCCCATCTGCAACATGATTCATCAAGTACACTTGACAAGATCTGCTGTGTCTCATGTGTCTGGGACATTATCATGTTGGAACGCAAATTCTGGACAAATTACTGCAAGATTTATATTGGCTTCAACAAATTGGAGATGATCTCTAGAGGTGCCAATCCTTTCTAAACTAATCTTCTAAAGGACATAAATCTGTCCAGCTCAATGAGGTGTTTCTATTGTTTATAATGTGTGACAGTGTAAACAAGCAAACAATCCAAAGTAAATGAAACACCCGAAGCACTATATTAATACTCTGAATTAGTATGTAACATGCTTGAAAGCACTTCCAGATGATAAAACTGACCTAGTTTTCATAAGTTAATGAATAAATAATGTGTATGAATTTATAACTTAAGTGTCCAAATGAAATAATTTGTAAGAATGAAGAGACCTAGATGAGAACAGGCATCCTGAGCCAGCTGCTGATGTGACTTCATAGAATACAAGATATGTAGGAAGCAGACAATAGACGTTAACACCCAATAATCCTAATAATTCATCTTTGTGGACTAAATCTTTCTTCAGCTGAATGATATATCAAATATTCATTAGCTGCAAAAAACCATAAATGTAAACTTTGCACTCCATAGGAAGGCTAGCATTGAGACAAACATATGGAACACTGTCATCAAAAATATACAGTATGTGGGGTTATGCATCTAGAGGAGCACCTTCAGAGCTCTTTGCTTCTTCTGCATTATTTCTATAGGCTTCATCATCATTTCTCAATTTCTGTCAGAGAGCCCATGACGTTCTTCTATGTCACACTTTTTATGTCTTTCTTGCTAATTTCAGTGCCTCTCCTTGTTGCTCTGTGTCTCACATAATTTTCTCAGTACCAGGGTTTCAACAATGTGCTGTGCAAAATGCTTGGTAGGAAGGGGAGAATTCTATGAATGCTACTTAGGAAGAAGCAGCAGGAGTATGCGTGAGAAGAAAAGTGTTTGGAATAGGAAAGGAAGGTGTCTAGAATGTTTTCCCTTCCTTCAGCTGAAACTTTATTGAGTTTTCACCAACTGAAGAACTTTTCTCAACAGTCTTTCCAGCCTCCTTTCTGAGTCCAGAGTTTCAGAGAGATGTTAGTGGACTATACTCTAATTATACTAATATAACTACATCTTTTTTTCTATTACAGTGAAAAATGCTCTAATAAAGATGGCCAATTTAAATCCCTAATCTACTTAATCAACTATTTGATCTTTTTGCCTCACCAATTCGTCAAGACATTTGATTTTCTGTCCTTTCCAGCCTGAGTGCGCTGCCTAATATTTTCAATATGTTCATTCTAAGTATTCTTTTAAGAGAATTGTACAGGATTGTTTTGAGAGGCTTTTAAGAAAAACAGCTAGAAATATGCAGAATCAACCATTCTGGTATTATGTGAGAGTGTTTGACACAACACCACCAGCTGTGTCTGGGTATCATCAAATAATAAAAAGTATTATAGGCTATACAGATGGCAGTACATAAATGTATTACAAATGACCTATGACCACTCAATTGCCTTATTTGTTATTGGTAACATAGGAGCGGTAGACAGTAAAACAAGGTGTTCTGCCATCTTTTCAAGAATTACTACTACTACTACTACTACTACTACTACTACTACTACTACTACTACTACTACTACTACTACTACTACTACTACTGTATTACTTGCAAAACAAGTAATAGGTTTATTCCATGCTGAAAAAAAGAAGAAAGAGAACACAACGTTTCGGCCGTGGAGCCTTCTTCAGGTGTGAGGGTGTTAATGGAGAAAAAACTCTGCACTTAGCAAATTAAAAAAAATAATCAGTCCCCTCTGAAGAGTCTAACTTAGATTTCTGTCTCTAAATGATCCTGCCACATAGAAGGACTCATTCATTGTTAGAGGCAAAGGGATTGGTCGTTTTTATGTTAAATACAGCTGATGTCCACAGTTGTCATTATTTAAAGATCTGCTGAGTACTGACACACTGGGGAACACCCTTTGATATCCAAAAGCATTCAATCCAAATTTATGTCAGAGAACAGAAAGCTGAGTTTGTCTCTGCTTTGAATTAGTTGAAGCAAAGGAGATTTGTAAAGGCTGGGTATTCTGTTTCCTACTGGAAGTTTACCAAACACAACCTACTGTACATTTATACAAAATACCCTTAGATGTGCAGTGTTTGAAAAGCAAGTAGGGCCACTGCCCTGTGTTTAATCTTGACACAGTTTTCAAAAAAACATATTGCCTCTTTCCCCCAGGTGTAGAATAATAATAATAATAATAATAATAATAATAACAATAATAATAATAATAATAATAGGGTATGATGTACTGCCAGTCAAACTGAAAATTGTATTTTTAAAATAATAATAAAAAATTTGAAATAAGGTGATAAACTCTGGCTTTTTTAAATTATTGGCTCAGTTATCCTGAGAAGGATCATTTCTATTATGCAATACAAATACAAATTCAACCTTGCTTGTGTAGACATTCTGATGTTAAACATGTTGATTAATCAATTATTGTTTTTCTGAATTAGATGAGTATTGATTCTTGTTACAATCAAACTTTGAAGAGAAGGTACAACAGATCAAAATTGCTCAATCCAAAATGCAGCTACACTGAAATAATAATAAAAGCAACACAAACATATCACACTGTTACCTCTTAATGCTAAGAATTCAAAGAGGTGAAAATAGGAAGTCAAAAAAGTTTAATTTTAAATAATACATTGTAGGGGATGTACCATTATTTAATAATATAATACATTACCTAGTGAATAGACATGCAATTTTGCTTTACTTTTTAATTAAACTTACCTTTACAAATTGGCATAACACCACTCCATGTGCCATTTTTAGTGCAGGTACGAGTCATTGAACTTAATGGCTCCATTATATACCCAGGCTGACAAATAAATGTTATATTTTGTCCAATAGTAAAGTCCTCTCCATATCTGAGTCCGTTAGCTGGAATTCCAGGATCCCCACAATTAATCACTGAAAGAAAAGTGCTTAGTTTAGTAAAACATAATGGTTCACTATACAAATGTCGCAGACAACTGACTATTTTTGTATTGCCAGTTTTTCTACAATTACAATTGTCCTGTATGTCCTGTTTTACAAATAAAATTCAAAACACTATATGCAATAAAATAGTAAAGTCCATATCAAAATAAAAAATGTAGTTGCAACGTACACCGAATATAGACCTTGATTTGTTTAATACATAATGCTATTGTTACAATTGAACAAGCTAGGATATTCACCCATCCCAACACAGAGAGCAGTAAATTAATGTTCTTAAAAGGTAATGGGGTGTACAAACACTTGTCCATGACTATGAATAATTTAATATGCTTCTGAATTATTGAGGTCACACACATACAGTATATAATGTGTCAGATTTTTATAATATCTTATATGAAGTAACATTAAGTAACAATCCTCTTAAAATCATATCTATAAATTAGTTTAAATAACCCAACAATGTGGCCAAAAGGATATCTCCAGGCAGTATGTATTTTATTCTAAATAATAGATCTTACAATAAGCTACAAAATCAATACACTGCAAAATGGCAAACCACTTTTGTCATATGTGGCATTGGTAGTCTAACAGCAATAATCAATATTGCATATCTTTTACAATTATTGATGCTTCAAATGGATTATTAAGAAATAGACCTGGTTGATCTGATTCATTTAAAAATCTATTTAACAATTGCCCCTAAACTTAAAGGTCAGGTGCATTTGAATTAAACAGTAATAAACTATTTTTGACATTGTTATGGTAATAAACTCAGAGATTATATTTACAGCTGAGAAAAAGCCCTTTAAGATTTACATTCCTAAGAAACGGTATGTCTTGATCTCATTTTTGCACATTTTCAATTAAAAAAATTACATTTAATCTTGAATTATAATGGTCATATAGTACAGCCCAGTTACCATATGCATTTCAGAAGACCTCTAATTTTTTCTCTTGTAATAGAGGACATGCTATGCTAGAGCGGCATATTACAGCTCATTTTCTATTCCTTTTTTTTCATTAACATCTCATAAATGTTACTGTACTTGATGTTTTAATTAAACTGCTTATAAAGTTCATAATTATATTTAAAGATCCACTGCTTCATTACTAAGAGTTGAAAGATCAGTACTTAACATCCATCTATTTTCTAATCACTTGATCTAAAACAGGTTCACTGGGGAGACCAAGCCTATCCTGGCAAGTAACAGGTGCAAGTCATAACCCTGTGCAGAACACCAGTACATCGCAGTCTTAACATACAGTGGCCTTCAAAAGTACTTGCCTCCCTTGGACTTTATAACATTTTATCTTACAATATGGAATCATAATGTATTTAATGAGATTTGTTGCCACTGATCAATATAATACAGGTTCACAGTGTCAAAATGAAAGCAAAGTTCTACAGATTTGTCTGTAGCAACTTGTCTTTGCAAGTCATGTAATTTGTTTAATGTTGTCCACCTGTTTGTTCTACATGAGTTCAAGTTAAATACACCCCTCTCTCAGAAGACAGTACTCATCTAAACTGAGGGAGGTTGAGCATTGTTTCAAAGAAGAATGGGCAAAAATTGTAATGTCCAGATGTAGAAATCTGAAAGAGACTTATCCAAGAAAACTCATGGCTGTAATTTCTGCTATGGGTGCCTCTACCAGATATTGACTCAAGGGAGTCATTACTTATGCAATCAGCTTGATTTTCAATTTATAATTTAGAAGAATCTGCCGAATTTTATTTTCACTTTGTCATGTAAGAGTGTTTTGTGTTGGTCAATAGCAAAAAACCTTATTAAGTACATTATAATTATATATTGTATTGCAATAAAGTCTGAAAAGGTCCAAGGAGGGTGAGGTGAAGACTTTTAAAAGTCACTGTACTGTATATGTTAATGTAGCTTATTATAAGTTAGAAGAAATTAAACTTGCCATTTAGTAAATCTTTGATTCACATTGATCAGAATAGTAAAAAATTTGATCACTACACACAATAAAAAAACACACGAGCAACCAATATGAAGCATGGAGGCTAATCCATCACATTTACCAATCAAAGCTAACTACTGTAGCTCAGTGGCAGATGTTCCTTGTCATTAACGTTTTAACATTAACATTAACCATTTCTGTTCTACAAAATAAAGAAAATCATTGGCTTAAAACAAAATGGTTAAACTTTCAGCAGAGGGATCACAGCTTTTACCCTTCATTGGAGAATCAAACATTTTAGACAAAATGGCATTTCTTAAGAAAGCAAAGTTAAATGTTTGCACTTCTCAGCTTTCTTGTAGAGATTAATACAGTTTTGTTCAACATTCTGTGCCTATTGTGCTTTATGTTTCGAGAAAATTGTTTTTCACACATTAATTGTCCAATGACATTTTCAGACAAAGCATGAGAAAGGCTTCAAGGATGAGACAGAAAAAGGTTCAGTCAATCAAATGGATCATAGTGAAATAAAGAGTTTTATTAAGAAATAATCAAGCATTAGAGAAAAGCTAGAAATTGCACAATGTGTTGAAAAATGTGGAACGTTATTACAGTTAGGTTAACATATAAAAGAGGATATTCTTAGACACACAATGATGAAAGATGCAATAGTATTTTGTGTAAATGCTACTGCTACTAGCAGTTTTTGCACTGTGACTCAAATGGAGTCTGAGAAAAGATACACTGGTTAGCATTGTTGTCTCACATTCTTGGGGCCCTGGGCTCAGTTCCTGGGGTGTTATCTGTGTGGAGTAGGTATGTTCTTGACATGTTTGCATGGGCTACCTCCAGGTGCTCCAGTTCCCTCCAACAGTCCAAAATAATTCTGTTAGGTTAATTGGCTTCTGGCAAAATTGGCCCTGGTGTGAGTTTGTGTGCATTTGTGTCTTTGTGTGGACTTGTACACTGTGTATCCTGCCATGCACCCGTTGCTTGCCATGATAGACTCCAGCTACCCCGCTACCCTGTATTGGATAAAGTGGTTGGAAAATGGACTGATGGATGTATTAAGGCAACAAACATGGTTTAAAACATGGTTCAAAGTATTCTAGAATCAAGGCCATGAGTTGAAGGCAGTAAATTCAACCAAGCAGTCTTTGGGATTACAGAGACAGCATGCATGAAACAGGTAATTTCGTAGGTTCTGTTAAACTGTCAATTTAAGATATGCATGTTACACATGTACTTAGAATTTGAAAAACATTTTGAGATGTTTCTGTTGAAGCACTTACGGAGTGATACTTTTCATTGGATGAAATGATACATTTACTGTATATTTTATGAACGGAAATAAGGCTACCTTGATGAAAGTTATTTTCAGACTTTGATGATGGAAATACAGTAGGTATTTTAAAAATCTGATTAACCAAATCCATTGTTTAAGTATTTACAGCTTTTAGTCACTGATGTTCATCTTTTAAATTTATTCACAACTCCCATTATGTTTCATATCAGGTACAATTAAATAAATTATTCCCTGCACAATTGTCTTCAAAAAGATTTTTTTTTCTTATTTTCTTTCAAATGTAAGTTCTCATATACTTCAACTTTTGAAACAATTAACCACGTGTTTGAACTAGATCATTCCTTTCTTTCGGATAATCCCTCTGAGAGATACAGATTAGTGGCTACAACCTTTAATCCTACACAGACTATTTATTATTCACGCAGCATAGCTGAAGGGAGTTATAATTTAATGTTATTGTGGTTTAAACACAGACTGGAGATGAATAATAATCAGTAAGGTTTCTAAACTTGATAGAACATCATTGATTTAATATCGCATAAAGTACCTTTAATTAATATACCTACTTGTGCAGTTAGGGGCGGTTCCAGACCATGTTCCATTAGCCAGACATTGTCTCCCAGAAGAGCCAGATAATATGTATCCTTCCATGCATGAGTAAACAACTGAGTGGGAGAAGGTTGTCCCATCAATTCGGAACACCTTGCCATTGGTTGGGGTCCCTGGATTTCCACACTGCACAGCTAAAAGCAAACAATAAATGGCTTAAACGATAAACCTGAGAAGAAACTGCAAGAAATCAGCTGCAAGGCATCTTTCTGGAAATTCAGGAAATACACAGAGGGACTCTAGTCTGCCTTTAATGTCATTGCATCAAATGTGAACCTCTTATTATGAAAGTAAGCTTCAATTCAAACAAATTTTGTAATAAAAAACAACTTGGAGGAAAATCAAAATGTCTAATAAACATACAATAGGTAATGAAAGAATGAAAATATCATAAAATGAATTTTCTTGCTGATATGATCATTGCTAATAGAGCAATGAATTTATAAACATACATTACAGTTACATTCTTGAAAAACTATTTCCTGAGGCTGGGATGCAATAGCTGCACTATGATGCCATATATCGAAAGGACAAGCTCCTAGATCTCAGAAAAACAGAACAAGTTTGTGCCTAGTTAGACCTCAGCCTCCAGGGGTGTAAGAGTTAACAATCTGGAAATATTTTCAACTGTAAAACTGAACTATATCTGTTCAAAAGGAACAAAGAAGGAAATAGTTTGGCAAAATAAGCTGTCTAGTTTAGAAAAGAAAGGGTAACATCTTGAGGTAGAAGGGTCCATAATAATAAAGGCAATAAAGGGAGAAAGAAAACAACTCTTATATTTCCAGTTGACACCACAACTCTAGTGTCACACAACACATTTACTATGTTTTATTTTTTTTTTCCTCTTTAAGGGGAAAGTCAAAAAGAAAGATCTTGACTTTCAGAAAGAAAGAGGTAGTGTAAGTGGTCATGTGACGTACAAGCATAAACTAAATACTGTATACTGTATATGTATAGAATATAGAACA